AAAATAAAATAAAATTCCTAGATGTGTTTTAATTAAAAATATGGAGAGCCTTGGGCAGGGCCTGTGGCTCAAAGGGGTAGGACGCCAGTCCCGTATGCCGGAGGTGGTGGGTTCACACTCAGCCCCTGCTAAAAAAAAAAAAAAAAAAAAAAAAAAAAAAAAAAGTGAGATGGCACCTCTGCAGGACAACAATTTGAGATATAATAAAAAAAAAAAAACATATATATATATATATATAGAGAGAGAGAGAGAGAGAGAGGGAGAGAAAGAGAGATCCTTTCTTTCATAACAAATGTTCTCTGACCAAGTAAATGGCTAGGTACTGAGACAGTAGCAGGAGACAACTGTGCCTAAATCAGTCTTGCTAGGATGCACTTTCATATCACCTAGGTGTCAGATATTGCCCTAAAGCTTTGTGTAGGTCATTAAATATGAAATGTCTGATATAATAACCTTTTTTTTTTTTTTAGTCAGAGTCTCACTTTGTTTTCCCTGGTAGAATGTCGTGGCATTATAGCTCACAGCAACCTCAAACTCTTGGACTCGAGCTACTCTCTTGCCTCAGCCTCCCAAGTAGTTGGGACTACAGGCCCCTACCACAACACCCAGCTATTTTTTTTTTAGAGACAGGGTCTTGCTCTAGCTCAGGTTGGTCTCAGACTCATGAGTTCAAGCAATCCACCTGCCTCAACCTCCCAGAGTGGTACAGGCATGAGCCACAGTGCCCAGCCTTAATATTATAAACTTTTGATTTGATATCTCATACAAGCAGTATCATCAAAGTAAACTAGTTTTTCCATTTGAACAGTGGTTTATACCAGCAGCAATGAAGTGACAGTGAAAGTAAGTGACAATGAAATGGTATGTGGCATTTTCTACATCTTGTTGAGAAATGAATTTTCTTCCTTGCAAGAAGTGGTCCAAAGCCTGGAAGAAGTGGTAGTCAGTTTGTGCAAGGTCTGGTGAATATGGTGGATGACAGAGTTTCCAAGTCCAGCTTCTGTAGTTTGAGCAGCATTGTTTGTGCAATGCGTGGTTGAGCATTGTCTTGCAAAAGGATTGGCCTGTCTCTGTTGACCAATCTCAGCTGTGCAATCACAAGCAACCTCACCATTTTGTCCAATATGTTGCAGGAGATAGCCATTGTAATCAACTGACCAGATTTCATGAAGCTGTAGTGGAGAATACCAGTGCTAGACCAGCAAACACTATTAGCTTTTTGTGGTGAATACTGAGTTTTAGACTGTTTCAGAATGTCATCTTTATCCAACCAAATGCTTGTGACTGTCAAAAAGAAGTCATTTTTTGGTGGCACCTGTGGCTCAAAGGAATAGGGTGCTGGACCCATATACTGTAGGTGGTGTTCAAACCCAGCCCCAGCCAAAAAAAAAAAAGCCATTTTCTTTTCTTTCTTTCTTTCTTTCTTTTTCTTTTCTTTTTTTTTTTTTGAGACAGAGCCTCAAGCTATCCCCCTGGGTAGAGTGCTATGGCATCACAGCTCACAGCAACCTCCAATTCCTGGGCTCAAGAGAGTCTCCTGTCTCCACCTCCCAAGTAGCTGGGACCACAGGCACCTGCAACAATGCCTGGCTATTTTTTTGGTTGCAGCCAGCCATCATTGTTGTTTGATGGGCCCAGGCTGGATTCAAACCCATCACCTTAGGTGTATGTGGCTGGCGCCTTAGCCACTTGAGCCACAGGCGCCGAGCCAGAAGCCATTTTCATCAGATGTAACAATACAGTGTAGGAATTGCTCGCCATTATGTCAAGACACCAAAGAAAAGTAAGCTTTGCAAAAAGTGGAAACCTAATAACCACATGTATATGTAAAACTAAAAACAATAATAAAAAAAAGAAAAGTAAGCTTCACCTGAGCAAAAGTAAGATCCTGTCTCTACTAAACATAGAAAAATTAAGGCCAGGCATGGTGGCTCATGTCTGTAATCCTAGTACTATAGGAGGCCAAAGAGGGAGGTTCTTTGAGCTCAGGAGTTTGAAACCAACCTGAGCAAGAGTGAGACCCTGTCTCTACTGAAAGTAGAAATAGTCAGGCATTGTGGTGGGTGCTTGTAGTCTCAGCTAATTGGGAGGCTGAGGCCATGGCACTCTAGCCTGAGCAACAGAGATCACCTCTAAAACAAACAAAACAAAACAAAGCAAAAAAAAAGGCGGGGGGCGGCGCCTGTGGCTCAAGGAGTAGGACGCCAGCCCCATATACCAGAGGTGGCAGGTTCAAACCTGGCCCTGGCCAAAAACTGCAAAAAAAAAAAAAGGAAAGCCTTAAGACAGTTTCTTGTCTGACACTCATTTAATTCATGTGGAACCCATCTATCCAGCTTCCTTACCTTGCCAACTTGTTTGGAATGGTCCAATTCTGTTGAAATAGTAACATCAAACCTTGCTAATTCATGTCTAGGTTGACAAGGATTCACTTCCACTACAGCTTTCAACTCATCATTATCCTCCTGGGTCTCACGTCATCCATGTGGCTCCTTCTCAAGTTCACCAGAACTTCTCAAACTATCCAAGTACTATGTGTTCATCAGTCACATCCTTCCCAAACACTTTGTTGAACTGTCTGCCCTGCATCGGTTCCACAATAGAACTCATATTTAAAACTTAACGTGCATGTTTGACTTAGCCATGTTTTCATAAACACTGATCTAAAATTTTTTTGAAAGATAATCACAAGCCAAAACATGTATTTGAAAGAATGAGGATGTACCTTCACAATAAAACAAGTATCGAAGTAAAATGTCAGAGATACAAGTATCAAACTTAGTACTTAAGTAAATTTGACAGTTCATATTTAATCTAAGTACATATTAACTCTCATCCTCACCTCATGACTATGAGGTCAGTACTACAATTACCCCTCCTGACACTGATGCACTTCAGTGGTTACATAAATTAGACCTCATTTACCAAATTCTTATTATCAAGGACTCCTACAAACTTATGACGTTCCACGTAAGTATATGTGATGTGAACTTGTACAACCATAAATACAGAAGCATTTAGGGAATTGCAGATTTTCAGCTTTATTTGAAGAAAATATGAAAGGCAACCATCAAGGCAGCATTGCTCATAACTGGAGCGGGCATTCTCAGTTCCCCACAATCCCTGTCCTTCAATATTTCTTCCCAATCCTGAGGGGATCCGAGTTTAACACAGCTGAGTGGCACTTAGGAAAGTCCGCTAGTGCCCCCTCGTGGCGAAGTTTAGACTTTTCATTTCATCTCCCGGCGACCATTAAAGGGCGTAGTAAGAACATCCAATCAGAGAGTGAGAGACTCAGGAAGTGACCAATGGGGAGCGAGAGGGGGCTAGAATGTGACCAATAAGGACGGAGAGCGCTCATAGTAAAAGAAAACACTTTTATTGAGGTAACAGATAAAAGGGGATTTTTTTTTTTCTGACCGAGTCTCAGTACTCATGGAGGCCCAGTCTGGGGGCGGCGGCGGAGGAGGCGGGCAGCAGCAAGACTGGTGCCCAGGCGTGGGGGCCGTGCGTACTTGAGAAAGACTGCAGCGCGGCCTGGCGCAGGGCCTCGGAGTGCAGCGCGAGCCATGCATGGCTCGAGGGGGCTCAGTTCCTCAGGGCTGCAGTGAGAAGATGGAGAAACTGAGGCAAGCGGGCGAAGATGACGTACCTTCAAGGCTGTGAAGGCATACTGGCTTAGGTACCCAGGAGCTGCTCAGGGGCTCTCTGGAGATCGAACACATGTCCCATCCTCAACTAGAGTGACTGGGGACACCAAGAAGGGGCAGACACCCGGTTCTGCCCGCAGAGTATGGCCAGAGTGGAGCCAGGACCCGAGAGAAAGGAAGGTGTAAGGCTGAGGATGGGCAGACATTCGCTCTACCGTTGGGGAACAGAGGTGGGAGGGAGAGAGGGAGGGTATAGGCTGGGAGAAACGGTGATTCACTCTGCCACCCAGTGGTGTGGTTAACGGCTCTAGAGGCTAAAGAGCCACCACTCTTTAGCCAACCAGATACAGAGCTGGCCGACTCAAAGCCTAGGAGACCCTTTATTCTCAATCCTAGAAGGCAGACTTCTGCTGCCCTGGGGCGAGGTTAAAGGTCACCAAACCTGGATAAACACTTCCATTCTTTCAAACACCCTTAGAGAAAAGCAAATGGGATTCACAAGCTAGGCAGATACCCCATTCTCTCCTACGCCCAGAAAAGGTAAGTCTAGGTGCCGCCTCTTCCCCGAATAATTGTTTCTCATTCTCTGAGATGGTAAAGATGACGACCAGCAAGGGAGGTCTCTGAGCCTCAGAGACCCTATCGCAAACCCTCCTCCAAAGCCACACCTGTAAAATGCCGACAGGGGCCTGGAGCCCAACCCATAAAGCACGCGATACGCCAGGCTCAGAGCTGCAGCTGCGCGACGACCGGGCTCCCAACCCGAAGCCTCAGCCTCCAGCAAGGACAGCTCCAGGAAGTAGGTAGCGAGTAACATCACCTGCCCGTAGGGGGGTGGGGGTGGGAGAACGTCAGGCCACGCCCACACAAACTCCCCGGCCCCTGGCCCCGCCTCCGCACACCTGGGGGCCACTCCCTTCCAGCGCCGCGAACAGCCGGAGGCAGAGCAGAGGGCCGGGATGGTGCAGCCGGAAGTCCAAGCGGTTTAGGATGCGGCGTTCGGCCCGTAGCAGTTCAGTCCGAGAAAAGGAGCCCGCGCTCAGGAGGCAGAGGGAAGAGGGCTGTGAATGAGAGATGAAGGGGGCAGAGGAGGAACCTTGGATCCTGGCTCTTTACTCCCTGCACTGGAACGCCTGTAAATCAGTTCAGTCCAAGTTCAGACCTCAGCTTTCTGATCTGTAAAATGGGGCCATTGACTTGGGACCGGAAGTCGTGGAGAGCATGGATTTCAGAGTCAGAAAGACCAGGGTTCGAGTTCAGACCCCTTACATCCACTTACAGTATGACATGGGACATTCACTTAAGTTATCTGCCTCAGTTTCCCCTTCCATAAAACCAAGATACTACTCCCTACTTTACCAGGCAGTTCTGATAAGACACTGAATTGGTGCACATTAACTATACTCCAGATGGACTTGAGTCCAAGTCCCAACTACTTGATTTGGGGCAAATGTCTTCCTCTCTCGGGGCCTAAATTTCCTCCTCTCTTAAAGGGACACCTTAGCAGCCCCTCCCTCATCCACATACGCGGGAATCCGAAGTAAAGTGTTTGGCAGGGAGCTGTGGAAAGAACTCCACCCTCCAAAACTCCACCCCAGAAGTACCTCAGGAAGCACACACTCTTCCATTTTGCAGGCTAGAAACAGGCAAGCGACACCCAGCAGCTGTAGACGTTGTAGGCGCACTGGGCCAGCCCTTAGATAGGAATCAAGTAGGTGCACTGCCAGATAAAGGGTTTCTCCCGCCAGGCCCAGGTGCTCCTGGGGAAGGGCACGGGTGACCACTAGGGCCAGATTGATGGGGCCCAGCTCAACCCAACCCACAGGCTCCCCAGTACGTACATGCACCTGGACCAGCCAGTCTACCACTAGTGCACGCATCTCCGGGGTCACAGTGCGGGGCAGGGCTCTCTGGGGCAGTGCGCAGCGCCCCTGGGGTTGGGCAGGGACAGCCTTACTCTCCACACCCATGCTCCAGCTTCTGTCCTAAGCTCCAGCTCTGGGTGCAGCAGCCTCCTCCAGTCAGTTGGATGTTAGTACCACACCCAAACTGGTATCCAAATGTATCCTTTCCCCATCCATGAACCCTGGACTTTGTTCTAGATGGGAACAGTTCTGGATACCTCCCTACCCTCCTCACCAGTCTGTAGCCTCCTTAGGACTTGGCCTCCTGAGCCCCTAAGTTCCCAGACTCCACTCTTGGCCACCAACCCTCAATCAATCCCTCTCAAGTCACCTAGAAGAGTCTTTCCAAAGAAAGATCTGGCCTAAGAACTCTCTAGCTCAGTGGTTCGCAACCTGTGGGTCAGGAAGGTTGAGAACCACTGCTCTAGCTTAAAATCCTCCTGGGGCTCCCAGTACCCTTAGGTGCAAATTCTATCAATAATTCCTCTGACTCAGGTCCTGCTCCTGCTCCAACATCTCTCCTCTTACAACCCACACTCCCGTTCCATCAGCCTTCTTTTGGCTTCTCGACTATACCTTGCCCATTCCTACCCAGGCCCTTTTTACTTATTGTCCCCTCTACCTTAAATGGTCCCTCTTCAGCTCCTTGGATTGCCTTCTCTCTCACTCAATTTCTCAGCTGAAATTTCCCTGACTTTATCTTCTTTCCTGCACCCCATCACTCTCTCTCTCTCATCACTTTATTTCCATCACAGCCTTTCCACTCTGAAGATATTGGGTGTTTCCCTGGGCATCTTGTCAGCATGGCCTGCTGGGCTGCCAGTACAAGGCACAGGTGTTATCTCAGTCCTAACAGAGAGTCCAGCTCAGAAGAGACACTCACAAGGCGTTTGTTAGATAAACCCTTCCCTGAAATATTTCTTCTGGAAGAATCTTTGTTATACAGATGTCTGAGAACTAGTGGGCCGGTGTTTGGGGCTGTGTGGCTCTTCTCTAATTATTGCATATACTTGCTTGTCTGTTTCCCCAGAACGACGACAGCAGCACAGCTCCTCCAGTGCCTGGGACGTGCTCAGAGACATTTGTTAACAAATCGCTAGGTTTCTGTTAAACGAGAAGTGTGAGGGACAAGTACGAGGGACCCCAGAGAGGCGGTGGGAAAAGGCATTCTGAGCGGTAGAAACTGCACGAGTAAGAAACTCCCTCCCCTCAAAAAGCGTAGAAGTTGGGGCAGGGGCGTGTGGGGGGGGGCGGGGTCCTCCAGTTCAGGGAGGAGAGGGAACTGGGAGACGGGAGATGCTTGTTGAGTGGGTGCTGGACGATTGGGCCACCTTTGGCTTCATTGGCCCGCCTCGGTTGCCCTCTAGGGGTGGTGGCGGCGCCAGAGCTGCCCGCAGTCCGCTCACCATGACTTCTGCGAAGATGTCCCCAGCGTACTCGCGTTCTCCCTCCAACCCCAGCGCGCTCAGTGCCTCCTCCAGTCCTGAAGGGGCGCAGGGCCCCGAGGGCCTCTCCGAGTGTCCTTGGGAGACACCTGTAGCTGTGGCCTCTAGGTCGCCGTCAGGGCCTGGGGCTCTTGGAACCTCTACGTCAGGGGTGGCAGAGAGACTCTGCAAGGGAGATGACCTGAGGGTCAGCGCCCGGAGACAGGCCGAGCCAGAAGTGTGCCCCCAGCTCCTGCCTCTCACCAGCATCCTTCGGGCTGGCGTCGCCCGCAAAGCCAAGCACCAACCACTTCCAGATGGAGAAAGGGACCTTTGGCGGGTGCTTTAAATGCACCCGGGCGCGTGCGCAGTGAGCTCGCCTCGCAGGAGCAGGTGCATGAGTAAAGGCAAATGTTCTCAGACTGACTCTGCCCTCTCCTAACCCCCGTCAAGTTGGGCAGCTGGAGTCAGATCCTCATCCCGCTGCCCAGAAGTAGTCTCTCTGAGCCTCATTTTCCTCAACTATAAAATGAAAATCATTTCAAAACTTAGCCGACAGGGTTGTCCTGAGGATTTTAAATTTTGTTTTTATTTATTTATTTATTTTTGCAGTTTTGGGCCGGGGCTGAGTTTGAACTTACCACCTCCAGTATAAGGGGCCAGCGCCCTACTCCTTTGAGCCACAGGCACCACCCCTGTCCTGAGGATTTTAAAAGATTCTGTTTAGGGCGGCGCCTGCAGCTCAGTGAGTAGGGCGCCGGCCTCATATACCGCGGGTGGTGGGTTCAAACTCGGCCCCGGCCAAATTGTAACAAAAAAATAGCCGGGCCTGGTGGAGGGCGCCTGTAAGCCCAGCTACTCGGGAGGCTGAAGCAAGAAAATCGCCTAAGCCCAGGAGTTGGAGGTTGCTGTGAGCTGTGTGACACCACAGCACTCTACCAAGGGTGATAAAAGTTAGACTCTGTCTCTACAAAACAACAACAAAAAAGTTTCTGTTTAAGGGTTCCCCCCACCCACCCACAGGGCCTGACACCATAAAAGTGAAAGACATGGCAGCTGTAAGTATTTAAGGAAGGCCCCTTTGTGCATGGGGTATTCAGAGGTGAGCAAACCACCTGTGGTGTTGCAGGAAAACAGCGAATTAAAACACTTAGACCAACAATATAGAGGAAAGAACCTTGAATTGCTGGTGAGAACTTAGCTGCCCAAGCATGAAATGCTGAGTTCTGAGGAACAGTTTTTTTCCAGGCTCTTTTATACTTTTTTCTTCAGTTCAGTATCAGCTACATAGCTTTGGTTACAGATGTTAGAAACCAAGGTATTGTTATTAGAGTCTTTTTCTTTTCTTTTCTTTTTTTTTTTTTTTGAGACAGAGCCTCAAGCTGTCCCCCTGGGTAGAGTGCTGTGGCTTTACAGCTCACAGCAACCTCCAACTCCTGGGCTCAAACGAGTCTCCTGCCTCTGCCTCCCAAGTAGCTGGGACTACAGGCGCCTGCCACAACACTCGGCCATTTTTTGGTTGTAGCCATCATTGTTGTTTGGCGGGCCCGGGCTGGATTCGAACCCCCACCTTAGGTGTACGTGGCTGGCGCCTTAGCCAGGTGAGCCACAGGCGCCGAGCCTAGAGTCTTTTTCTTTCGCTTTTCAAGGTTATTTTACAGCTCAGGGGAAAGTTTGTTATTTTTAGAGGAGGAGTTCTGCAGTTGCTTGCTGCTTTCTCGGGATCACTAAGAAGTATAAGATTTATTTCTCCTTCCTCAAATCTAGCACTGAAAGGGGGATTGGACAAGTCTTCAGTACTCGGCTTCAACTAGTGCAGCTGCATCCTGGCTGCTCTCCCACTTCCCGTCCCCTACAGTTTGTTCCCCACATGCATCCAGAGGGATCCTGTGCACACCTGAGTCCCAACACACCCTGCTTCTGTTCAGAACTCCATTGTGGCTCCATCTCCCTTGAGCTAAAGGCCCACGAGGCACTATTTATCTGCCCCCACCATACCCGACATACACCCCCTGAGTTTATCTACTCCATGCCCTCCCTCAATCCTCTTCAGCCATGCACAAGAGGCACACACCTACCTTAAATGCTTTTTCCTCAGAGATCACATTTCCCTCCTAAGTCTCTCTCTCTTTTTATTAGACAGGGTCTTGCTTGGTTGCCCATGCTGGAGTGCAGTGGCATCATAGCTCACAGCAGCTTCCAACACCGGGACTAAATCCATCCTCCTGCCTCAGCTCCTGAGTAGCTGGTCTACAGTGCATGCCTAGTGTTTGTTTGTTTGTTCTTTTTTTTGGAGACAGAGTCTCACTTTATCACCCTTGATAGAGTGCTGTGGTGTCACAGCTCACAGCAAACTCAAACTCTTGGGCTTAAGCGAGTCTCTTGCCTCAGCTTCCCAAGTAGCTGGGACTACAGGCGCCTGCCACAATGCCCAGCTATTTTTTTGTTGTAGTTGTCATTGTTTGGCAGTCCCAAGCCAGGTTCGAACCCACCAGCCCTGGTGTATGTGGCCAGCACCCTAGCCTCTGAGCTACAGGCACCAAGATGTGTTTTAGTTTTTTTCCCAATAGGGTCTCCCCTGTGCTGTTGCCCAGGCTGGTCTCGAACTCCTGACCTCTAGCCATCCTCCTGCTTAGAGGTTCTGAGCTACTTGGATAATAAGTGTGAAGCACTATGCCCAGCCAACCATATATCACCTTGTTTACTTTCTCCCTCCTGATTAGAATATGAGCCCTATGAGGCCAAGGATTTTTGTCTGTTATTTCAATGCTGTATGCCCCAGACCCTAGAAGAGGGCCTGGCACTTAGTAGGTACTCAATAAATTTGTTAAAATGAATAAGCTAGATGTAATTTAGAGACAGGGATCTAGGAGGGCCTCTCTAAAGTGACACTGGAATTCAAACCCAAAAGAGCCAGGAACGCAAAGGGGGTAAGGATTCCAAGTGGGGGGAACAGCATAAATAAAGACGCTGAGGCAGTAAACAGCTTGCTATTTTCAGGCACAGAGAGGTCAGAGACGCAGGAAGTGTGAGCAGGGGAAAGAGTGTAAGATGTACCAATGCCTTCCTACCATATTTACCATAAAACCCAAATTTGGCCATAAGGTCTCTTTGGCTTGTTGTTAGCTCTCTAACCTCATTTCCCTCCACTCTCCCTCACTCCACTTGAGAAACTCCGGTTTTTTTATATTCCCCAGAGCCATCAGACACCTGCCTGCCTCGGGCCTTTGCATTTGCTGTTCCCTTTGCCTGGAATGCCCTTCCCCCAGAGATGCACATGACTTACTCTCTCTTCATTCAGGTTTCTGCTCAAATATCACTTGAGGCCTTCCTTGGCCTTTTATCTGAAGTAGTCATCCAGCCACCGTCAGATCATGGTCTGCATTTCATGTTTGATAAAGCACAAGTCTTCTCCCAAGAACAGGGCTTTGTTCAGCCCAACTTGTCTGTGACTGACTTCAGCACCCAATGATAGTGCCTGGTTCATACTGGGTGTTCAGTACTTTTGTCAAATGAATGTAGGCAGCTTTTACCTTTGGAATATTAACTATAAATGAAGAAAGAATGGTGGAAAATATTCAGTAACTACCATACCATTATTTCATCCAAAAAACATCAACAGATGTTAAAACTTGTGGATGAAGATTAGATGAGAATCAGGATATTTACAAAGCATTTCTACCTAAGATGCTCATTAACTACAAAGGCAAAGTAGTAAGGCCGGGCGTGGTGGCTCACGGCTGTAATTCTAGTACTCTGGGAGGTCAAGGCAGGTGGATTGCCTGAGCTCACAGGTTGGAGATCAGCCTGAGCAAGAGGGAGACCCCATCTCCATAGATAGCCGAGCCAGCCACTTGGGATCGCTTGAGCCCAAGAGTTTAAGGTTGTTGTGAACTATGATGCCACAGCATCATAGGGTATATTTTATTTTACTGAGGGTGACAAAGTGAGACTCTGTCTCAAAAAACAACAGCAACAACCAAAAAAAAAAGGGAAAGTGGCAATTTCATAGTGGAACACTCTAAAAGACATCACCTTAACCAAAGGATAACATCGTTGTCAGTTATAGGACGAATTATTTTCATATGCCTTCTGATAGGATGCCCAAAGGGCATGTCACTTCTGGAAATTCCTGCCAAAAATAGCTTGCATACAATCCCAAGGAAACACAAAGCAACAAACTCTGGTCAAGAAACACTGTATACATGGGAGGCGCCTGTAGCTCAAAGGAGAGTGCCAGCCCCATATACTGGAGGTGGTGGGTTCAAATCCCGGCCCGGCCAAAAAAAAAAAAAAAAACATTGTACACTTGTAACCCTGGCACTCTGGGACACTGAGATGAGCAGATTGGTTGAGTTTGGGAGTTCAAGACCAGCCTGAGGCTCAGCACCTGTGGTTCAATCGGCTAGGGCACCAGCCACATACACCTGAGCTAGCAGGTTCGAATCCAGCCCGGGCCGCCAAACCACCATGGCTGCAACCAAAAACTGGCCCGGTGTTGTGGCAGGCGCCTATAGTCCCAGCTGCTTGGGAGGTGGAGGCGGAGGCAGGAGACACGCTTGAGCCCAGGAGCTGGAGGTTACTATGAGCTGTGATGTCACGGCACTCTACTCAGGGCAACAGCATGAGGCTCTAGCTCAAAAAAAGAAAAAGACCAGCCTGAGCAAAAGCAAGACTCCATCTCTACTAAAAATAGAAAAACTAGTTGTGGGTGCCTGTAGCCCCAGCTACTAGGGAAGCTGAGGCAAGAAGACTGCTCAAGCCCAAGAGTTTGAGGTTGCTGTGAGCTATGATGCCAAGGCAATCCATCCCAGGCGACAGAGACTCTCTCTCAAAAGAAAAAAAGCAATCTTCAAAATAATTTCACTGTAAGTTTCAAATCTGAGAAATGAATGCAATGGACTCAGGACTGAATCCTTAGCTAGAAATTTTTTTTTTTTTTTAAAAAGGACATTGTGGCTAGGTGCCTGTGGCTCAAGTGGCTAAGGTGCCAGCCACATATACCTAAGGTGGCGGGTTCGAATCCAGCCTGGGCCCACCAAACAACGACAGCTGCAACCAAAAAATAGCCAGGCATTGTGGTGGTTGCCTATAGTCCCAGCTACTTGGGAGGCTGAGGCAGGAGACTCGCTTGAGCCCAGGAGTTGGAGGTTGCTCTGAGCTTTGATGCCACGGCACTTGACCTAAGG